CTCGCAATTAAGTCTTATATAGTCTCGATAATGTAAGAAATGTTCCTAAAAAAATTATTTGACTCAACAATGATACAATGGTAGATGAAATAGACAGAAGCGTCTATCTCAGTTTTCGATCAAATTAAAGAGAATCAATTTATACTTGATTAACTTTTTGGTTTAGTAAGTACATTTTATTAATTTTTCTTTTAACAACTAAGCATTTATACACTATTCTGTGAATGTTTTTCATGTATTCATTTGCAAGTTAAGTTTTCTCATATTTATCCATCAACTGTGAATTGATTTTTATTGAACATACTTTTATGAAGCATATACAGTTTTAAATAAAAAGGATTTTTGCAAGTTCCATAATAGAGTAAACTGATCGAATGTTGAAATTATTAGACCTTTTAATTAAAGTTATAACTATCAATTCTAGTTTGAACTTTCGACTATAATTATATATTTCAACAGGGGAATGATTTTCGAAGCTAAAAGTGTGTGTCGAGTAGGTATGGCTTAGGGGTGGCACTTTAACTTTATTTTTCTTTAATAAAGTAAAGTAAAGTAAAGCATTCTACTTTACTTTATTGAGTAAAGTAAAGTGATTTACCTTACTTTACTCGGTAAAGTAAAGAAGATACACTTTATCCAAAAAGTAAAGTAAAGTAAAGTAAAGTGAAGTATCTCCTACCTTACCGAACAAGTAAAATATAATAAAATAAGATAAAGTACAGTATGTAGTTGAGGGTTATTGACATATTAGAATGTGATTAATGTCTAATAATAAACTAATAAATCAATAACCATCAACTGCCTACTTTACTTTATCGTATTATATTATATTTTACTTGTTCGGTAAAGTAGATCTACTTTATCCGAAAAGTAAAGTAAAGTAAAGTAAAATGAAGTATCTCTGACTTTACCGAACAAGTAAGATGTAATAAAATGAGATAAAGTAAAGTAGGTGGTTGATGGTTATTGATTTATTAGTTTATTATCAGACATTAATCATATTTTAATACATCAAAAGTTGTGTCGAATTACGGATCGAAGGGTCCGAAAAATTTGAACCTAATTTTATTTCAATGAGAGTCAGCATTGAACCCTGAATATTTTTCATAATTTTATTTTTTACTTTATCATAACCCAACTTTTCACATATGGAGTCCCCCTCAGGTATCAAAAATACATTTTTTTCACTGCTCTATTACAGATATTTAAAATTCAATAGTACCAAGTGTACTGATTACAAATATCTCATTTGTTTTCAAAAGTACTCAGATAATAAGAAAGATTGGAAGTATTCCCTAGCACCATTAAAAACTAGGTTTTGTACAAAATTTTACTGAAATACGACCAGATTCGTTTAATCGAGTTCAAAATGGACTTGAATTGATCAGAAATTCCTTTTCTAACGACACATCCATTAGAAAACATTTTCATAACTAATTTTTATGAAATATGCATTATTTAATGCATTAGCCCAAGGTTGACTATTTGGTTAACCCACAAAATTTACCTGAAACTTTTTATAGGTAGGTCGGAGATGGAATTATATACAGCTTTGGACAAAAGTAGGTGCCCCCTAAAGTGCTATTATATTCCATCATTTCGAATTGATCTCTTGCGGGAATGCCGACCTCATTGAACCCTGATCGCAAACACCACCACGCCCTCAATTGGTTGACGTTTGCTGAAGATATCGCTTGTACATCGTCATCGCCTTACGAAGGTCACATCTCGATCATTTTTCGACATTCACTTTCGCACAACCCGTCATTCGAAACCTCAGAGATGCAGATATCATTAGTAAAATTTTGGTGTGAAATAGCGGGGATCCGAAGTTTTCACTGAAAACGTCTACCAAGTAGAAAATCCTTTTCTTCAGTTTGGAATCGATAATTTGAGCTAAAATCGATCAATGCAGCGGAACATTGTAGCAATGACTCATCATCAATCCACAGGTTTGTGGTAAAATATTCAGAGTCGCAGATCTATGTAGAGCTGAGATATAGTCATTGGAAGAATTCACTACACCACACTTTGTCTATAAATGGAGCTACCGTATTGTATGGCGACCTTTGGACCCAAGCAGCTATATAAGTAAGGCGACAACTAGCACCAAAAAAAGCAAAAAGTCATTTTAGTATGACGAAACACTGCGAATTAAAAGTTTCTGAGATGATATTTTCCCTTCATGTCTTCAATAAACAGTTGGCACTGCCGTTAAGCGAGTAGAACTGTCAAATGCTAGTGAATTTACACTCATCTTTCTGGAAATACTCTTTTTTTGTCGGAATAATTCAGAGGATGTGTACAAAAGGCTGATTCCATAAAGCAGAAACACTCTAAAGTCAGCATAATGATTTTGAGATGAAATGCTTCGTAAGAGAAAAGTACATCGTGCTTAGATACGCTGCCGGGGGGGGGGGGGGGGGGGGGGTTGAAGAAATTGAAGAGAAATACCTTCTTAAAAACTTTTAGTTCACAGTTTCGTCCTTCTAAAATGAATTTTTGAGTTTTTTTGGTGCTAGTTGTCCCCCTGCATACCCTAGTTGCTTGGATCCAAAGCTCACCGGATAATACCGTAGCTCGATCGATAGACAAGCTGTGGCATGGTAAACTCTTTCAATAACTCTATCTCAGCTCTGCATATTTTACCACAAACTTGTGGGTCGATGATGAGTTATTGCTGAAATTTAAGTTGCATTGATCAATTCTAGCTCAAGTTATCGATTCCAAACTGAAAAAAAGGATTTTCTACGTGGTAGAAGTTTTTAGTGCGAACTTCGGATCTCCGCTATTTCACACCAAAATTTTACTAATGATATCTGCATCTCTGAGCTTTTGAATGACGGGTTGCGAGAAAATGAATGTCGAAAAATGATCGAGATATGATCTTGATAAGGCGATGATGATGTACAAGTGATATCTTCAGCAAACGTCAATCAATTGAGGGCGTGGTGGTATTTGCGGCCAGGGTTCAATGAGGCCAACATTCCAGCAAAAGATCAGTTCGAAATGATGGAATATAATATCACTTTGGGGGGGGGGGGGGGCTACTTTTATTCGCCATTGTAAATGGTCTCATCAAGCCACCGGCCTGGGTTAAGGCTAACCAATGGAAGCCCTAAACCAAAAGGTACTAATATCAACCCAACCCAGTGGCCATCTCTGTCCACATAGACCTACTCAGTTTTCTGTCTTAGATTCAGACATGACACTTTTGTGGAGTCAAATGGGATTTTTCTATTCGAAAGCCATAAAATATTAGTCAAAAAGGGGCAAAGAAGGTCTCAGTAATAGGATTGTGAGCAAAAGTACTTTACTAGATATGAATTTTCACGTGGAAAACATTGTCACGAAAAAGAGCACATTTAGTTGCACTCTTGGTAAAGAAATCTGACCACGGCACCTGTAGAAACTCTGATTTTGTAACGCTGACAAAATATTATGAGAGATAATCAGACCTAATCGGGGTGATATTTGCCAATTATCGATAGAATGAATCGAATATTCAACACGTTCTCATAGTTGTTGGTAGAGAAAAGAATTCTGTATCAAATGAATCTGTTGTCGACGAAATAGAGCCGTATTTTAATGAAGTTTCTGGTCAAAAGCTAGTTTTTAAGGCTTTCAGGAGATCCTTTCTATCTTTCTTATTACCTAAGTTCTTTTGACAACAAATGAGATATTTGTAATCAGCTCACTTCATACTATTGAATTATAAAGTTTTAATGTGATAGGACTGGGATAAAAATTTTTTTGTCGATACCGAAGGGAACCTTAGGTGTGAAAATTGGGTTGTGATAAAGCAGAAAAAAAATAAAATTTTGAAAAATAGTGAGGGCTCAATGCTGATTCTCAAGATATTGAAAATAGGTTCAGATTATTCGGGGCTATCGGTCCGTATTTCGACGCAACTTTTGACGTATTAGAATGTGCTTAATGTGTGATAATGAACTCAATAATCATTAACTACATGCTTTAGTTTATCTCATATTACTTCATCTCACTTTTTCTGTAAAGTAAGAGATACTTCACTTTACTTTACTTTACTTTGCTTTACTTTTCGGGTAAAGTACGGTTACTTTACTTTATCCAGTAAAGCAAAGTAACCCAACTTTACTTTACTCAGTAAAGTAAAGATAAAGTGCCACCCCTAGTATGGCTGTTTTTTGAACAAGACTCAAACCTGTACCCAAGTTCACATCCACAGTCGCGAATTTACAGATCATCAGTAGCCAACTATGACGAAATTATGCTCTTCTGAAAATCAATATCTCCAATGAAAAATATACTTAAGAATTACTTGAGGAATCATCGACAAATCATGTTCGACACCAGAGAGTCGAACACATATAGATATACGGACGCTTTCATAAATTTGGATGTTTTGTGAGACTTACTTGCATTTTTAGAGAATTCTACATAGGAATTCTATATAATGAACCAAAAAAGAAGAATCAATATAGTGGAATAGCTAAGTTCTTCCCAGAGAAGGAAAGTATGGCCAAAATTGAACAACTTCGGATTGAAAGAAGTGGCAAAGTAAAAAAAAAGCGTTATTTGACTAGAGACCATTTATGAATGTTCTCTTAGGTGACTTAGAAGACGTCGGTCCTAGCATATTATAATCAAAAACAAATCCCTCATGCAAGCAGAACAACATAGTGTATAAATCATTGTCACATTTTAAAATGACTGCTTTCATATAGACCAAGTACACTTTACTTGATTAATCGAATATAAACCAATCTGTGTATGTTGAAAATGTTACAATGCATAGATACATACTACTCTAACAATTGTTCTCGTTGTTTTCCAGTAGAACTTTCTTGCTGTTAGTAATTATTCAACAGATCATCTCAAGCGCCTAATAAATGTATAACAATGAAGAACACAATCTTTTTTTTTTATCCCATTTACCCGTGTATACTTTATTTTTTAGTTTGAAAGAAACAAAAAAAAGCCAACATACCAAATATAAAATAAATAAAAGTATTACTTATTTAAAAACAAAATGTCATATTTTGTTGATAGCCTAATTTATCTAAATTTGGCAAACATGTAAATGTAACCATTGATGGTGGACCACAAATACATATTAAAGTATCATCAGCTGGTGGTGGCATATGTTCTTTTAACATAGTTGCATTAATAAAACCTTTTGAATATTTCCATTGTTCACTTTCTCGATCAACAGTATACCACAATTTGAATCGATCAGTATTTGATGCAGCTAATTGTTCTAATTCACTATGTAATAAAATATCTTGTTCAGTTTTATTTGCATATAAAAGCCAAATTTTAATATAAATGCATTGATCATGTACTATTGATGATTGTTCTTTTAATATTTCATTTAATATTTGATAGATAGGTGTTATACCTGATCCACCAGCAATTAAACCAAGATGATGAACATGTCGAGTTACAAATGGTTCAGATTTACGTGAACGTATATCAAATAAACCATGATCTTTATAAATAAGATTACTTGATAAACTGCCACTTACTTCAATAGTATGACCAATATGAAGTTTATCAAGATATTGAGTCATTTTACCATTTGAATAAATTTTAATAACAAGATCAAAATAACCTTGATTATCATCTGATGTAACTGGATTATATGGTCGTTTAACAAGTTCACCATTAATATGTGCTGATAAATAAATATGTTGACCGATAGGTAAACCAAGTACATGTTTTGATGATGGAAGTTGAAAACGAAAACGATATGTATCATGAGAAAGATTTTCTTTATAAACCAATGGAAATGCATATTTTATATCTGGACTTTTTAATGTTATAATCACATTTTTTCGTTTATTTTTTTCAGCATTATTCGATTGATTTTTATTTTTATATAAAATAAAAATAACAACAGAAATAATACTAATACCAGCAATAGTAATAAGCGTTGACGTATCTATCGACATATTTTTATCTGAAGTACAATAAATCAAAAATTATCAACCCAACAAAAAAAAAATGGTAACAGCTGTATTGTTAAAATACAGTCATTGATTATTCATTCTATGCTATATGATTATACCAATCAAAGTTGACTATCATAGAAGGTCTTTTTATTCAAATCTGTATATGTCAAATCGCACAAAATAATTCTATAGATCTTTAGCTTCAATTAACATTAGTACAACAGATAAAAATAATTTAAGTTCGATTTCTTCGTTTCTTAACACCTGCATATAGTTATAGAATAAACAAAATATTATGTAATTACATTAGTTGTTATAACTTTAAATAGACGAATATACACGACTTGATATTTTGATATTAAATTACGTTCAACATTTTCTTTTACATGATTCGCATCTATAAGTGAAAAATGAGAGTAGACAAGTTTTTGAATATCACTTAGATGAAATACAGTGAGTGTCTCTACTATCAAGCGCATATATTACAATGTGTAACAGCAGTGAAACTTGAAAAGAAATTCACTGCTTACGTAAAAATACTTACATTTGAAGAAACATGAAAACTTGTATTTATCGAAATGTGATCTTTAAAAAATGGCATTGTGATCTGCTTTACCAAAAAAAATGTTCAATAGACATGCAGTCTTACTTTCCAAAGCTGAAATGAAAACTTGATCTGACTCATGAGTAGCCCTAACTCATCTGATTTTTCATGACTTTTAGTTGTCGCCGGTTTGGTCTTAATGACAAAATGAATTGACAGCAAAAAGCATAGAAGAAAAAAAAATTATTGTCACAGTTGAACGTGGTAATCTTTTAGTTCATCTTCTTTATAGTGAAAATACGTTTAATTTATCGTTATAAAATGAAAAAGCAAGTCTAAAGAGAACTCATTCTATTGATGAGGAAACGAAAATTTGAATAATCAGTTGTTCAAGTTTTACAAAACTTCATAATTACTTTCTAGATGATCAAGAATTGTCAAAAAGAGAATTTTTCTCGCGATAGAAATATAGTCATGTTGCCAACATCGTGAGAATAATTTTCCAAATAATTTACTTTTCATTTTCGATTGTTCTTTTTGTTTTTGTATATCAGTATAATATACTTATGCTTATTTCATTTTCATCAGTCAATGAAAACACATGAAAATATCAATGTAATAATATACATTTGACTACAGAAATATTTAATAACGGTTGAACTAAATAATAATTAGACAAAATATTCGTCTATTTTTCAGTCAAAGAAAAGTATTCAAAATTTGAAAACATTGGATTACAATAAGAATTTTATGTTCTTTCTAAATATGGATTTAAAATTTTTGTAAGACTTCTGATATATGATATATATAAATAGACCTATTAGAGGCTTGAAAAATAGTTTCAAACAGAGCGAATGAAAAAGCATTGATTTCGATATAAAATGCTACATTAGTCATTAATTTGGTAAAATTCGTTTGTTTGTAGAAAACAAACTCGTGTTCAATTCTCTACAAAAAAATCGGTAATATAATGTATGCAGCAAAAGAGAGGATGAATGTAAAATGAGTCACTTTTCTCGCTCCAAATGGTGAATTTATAACTTCTAAGTCAGAAGTTCGGCAAAAAACTTGAATCCATATTCAGAATGAACACAAAACTCTAAGTCTGGCCCAATTTTTTCAAATTTTTGAAGGCTTTTCCCATAAGTTGGAAATAGAACAAACATGTTGTCTCATTGCTTCTGGATCATCCATTAATCTTAAGCGAAAATTCCCATAATAACAAATATTGAGAGCTCTGCGATGACTATTCTAAATAGTGTAGTAGATGGGATATCAGAAAAGATCACGTTATTTCGTGTTCACTGGATTTTATTATAGTTACGGTATGTTCCGATCATTATCGATGTAGAAATCAACTTTTCTTCTGGCAAGAGTCATTCCAATTTTGAAGTAAAAAAAATCCTTAAAAATCATGAAATCGCTTAGTTCTGTAGTTTTTAGCATTCTTTTTTCAGCTAAATTTTAAAAAATCTTTGTATTTCTCACCGGATTATATGAAAAAGTCTCCTCATCAAATCCAGATTTTTGATGAAAAACTTTGGATTTCTAAAATTTGGATTTGGCATCCCTACTAATTGTGAGTTTGTATAAACGTGAGTTACAACTTATTTCGACAGTGAAATAATTGAAGAAGAGAAAGCAAATGTATATATCACAGTATCACGTGTAAGAAAACCATGCAATAGAATATTATTACGTAATAATAAGAATAGAAATAATCAAAGTCAACATCAATGCTTGTTTCACTCTGACAGAACAGAAACGAAAGAACGAACAATTTCTAATAATTGAAGAAAAACGAAAGAAGTAGATACAACAGAAAGAGAAATAAATAAACAAACACGCACATATTCATATTAAGGAAGAATAAATCCTTAACACTAATAGCTTGTGGATTGGTGTGCAACGGTTCGGTAATCGATTGTATACACATGAAATTAGTAACTTCGTGTTCTTGTGATCACTAGAAGAGCAAAATTAAAAAACAGATGATTCGATTTTCATGAACTTTCTTTGCACGAAAATTCACCAGTTAGAGTCGGATTGGTATGAGTTTGTGAGTATCAGTTAATGGAAAAAATATGTTTTAAGCTCGTATGGTTGGATTTGGGTCTATACCTTTGCTATTGAATCATTTACATGCATCATTATGGTCAAACGAACGTGAGATTTCGTCGATAGATTTTTCAATGAAAATGATTTACAATGGTATGTTACACAAAATAATATATCTGCAAAATACACAGAAGAAACTACAATGGGAACGACGATCACATAATGATATTTGCAATGTAGAAAATATTCTGAATGTGATTTTCAAATAAAGGTTGTTTTAAATTATAATGGTGAAATAATAGCTTCAGCATCAAATGATCAATCATTGTGCACAACAACACAAGCACCGTCATAAGTTAGAAATATTGTTACAAATGCTGCTGCAGCTGATCTTTCAGTTCATTTTAGATTTTATATAATATCTGATCCAGATAAATTGAAAAACTTATATAAGCAACGTGAACGACCAAAGAAAGTAGGACCAGCGTTACCTCATTAATGTTTTTAATATGTTCTTAATTTTTTGCTTTTTTTCCCTACAATCATTTTATGTTCATTTTTCAAAATAAATAAACTATAGCGGGCTTAAAAAAATTATCGTCCTCATCTAATAGTCCTAATTCAATTTAATCGACAATTAGCTATATATTGTTTTGCATAGGAAAAATATTTGTGAAGAAAACAGAGAAAAAAAATAAAGATTTATAATTTACACGATGATTGATTGATATCTAACTTTATAATCAGATAGAGAGATGGATATATATTGGGTTCTTCTGTTTTATGGTTGTATCGTTCTGCATCCAGAACTGTGGTTAGATATACGAATACATTCTTTCTTACTTGTGGTATATTGTTTTCATCTTTTCTCTTCGTTATATATAAAGATGTTTCTTTTCGTCTTAGATGATAATAACAAAGTGGTTGACGATCAACACGTACCAAACAGTTTGTCTGATTGAAAATCAAATCGAATTATATTAAAGCTAGATTCAATAAGAAGCGCTAATGGTGGATATTTTAATGTTGATCATGAAAAAAAATGTTAGAAAAGAATGAGGATCAACAAGTTACAAAAAGCAAAAAAAAAGCATGTAACACAGAACAATCCTTTTTACTGAAACAGATCCATCCCAAAAGTTAGTTTTAAAATCATAATGAAACATGTACCGAGCTTTTTTGCTTCATTTTCGAGCACTATATCTCAAGAACCTATCATATGAGACGAACTTGAGTTCTGTGCAACAGTTCTTTC